CCAATTTACATCTCATTTTTGGCAGCAAGTACATAGTTCGTTGGAAACAAAGTTGAATTTTAGTACAGCATAACATCCTCAGACAGATGGGCGAACTGAGAGGATTAATCAGATATTAGAGGATATGTTGAGAGCTTGTGCATTGCAGTATGGTACAAGTTGGGACAAGAGTTTGCCTTATGCAGAGTTCTCATATAACAACAGTTATCAGAAGAGTCTCAATATGGTACCTTTCGAAGCTTTGTATGGACGAAAGTGTAGAACCCCGTTGTTTTGGAATCAAATGGGAGAAACTCAAGTGTTTAGACTAGATGTTTTAAGAGACGTAGAAGAGCAAGTAAGGATGATTAGAGATAACTTGAGAGTGGCTCAGTCTCGACAGAAGAGTTATGCTGACACTAGCAGAAGAGAATTGGTTTTTGAAGTAGAGAATTATGTTTACTTGAAGGTGTGACCTATGAGAAGTGTTAGAAGGTTTAATATGAAAGGAAAGTTAGCACCAAGGTATATTGGGCCTATCAAGATTTTAGAGAGACGTGGTGAAGTAGCTTATCAGTTGGAATTGCCTGAGAGTTTGTCAGGTGTGCACGATGTGATCCATGTGTCTCAACTAAACAAGTGTTTACGTGTATCCGAGGAGCAGATACCGTTAGAAGAGCTTATAGTTAAGAAAGATCTCACATATGAGGAGTTTCCGATAAGGATTTTGGAGACGGCAGAAAGAGTTACAATGAGCCGAGTTATAAAGATGTGTAAGGTTCAGTGAAATCGGTATACAGAAGATGAGGCTACTTGGGAAAGAGAAGACGATCTAAGGAAAACATACCCACAACTTTTTGAGTAAGCATCGTTTGAATCTCGAGGACGAGATTCATTTTAACGGGGGGTAGAATTGTAACACCCTAAAATTTGCAATAATTTTTAAATAGGACAAACTGATTTATTATGCATTTTTGTGGGCATTTGAATTTAGGAAAATAATAATTTTATTAAATTAAAATCAAATGTAGGTTCACAATCATGTATGTGCATTCATGCCGCTGTATTTTGAATTGCTTGGTTTGAAGTCGGATTCTAAATTGATTTGAATTTGCATTCTGAATTTGCTTTGGAAAAATTAGAAAAAGGAAATAATGGATTTCTCTTCCTCCCTTCTCCTTTCCCTGCTTTCGGCCTAGTCGGACTGCCTTTCTTTTCCTGTGTGGCCTTGCTTCTCCACCGTCCTAGCTGGACACTTGGCTTTTCCTTCCCCCCGCCCCCCTGCTTGGGCCAAAGCCCAACACCGGCTCACTCCCTCCAACGCCCGCTCTGCACTGCCCAACAGCGCGCGCCCGGCCCAGCCAAACGCCCGCGCCGCGCATCCTCTCTCCGCCCTGCTGACACGCTAGGACGACCCATCAGGCACCTCTTCTATGTCCATCTTGTGACCAGCACGGACACCATCGTGCCGACACCGTCCATGTCTGCCTCCGCCACGAGCCTGTGCCGTGCCTCCCAAGGCGTCGCGCCTCTTAAATAGTCGCCCGAACCTACGCCGCCTCCCTATCCCACCATGCAGCAAGATTTTCATCCCCACATGAGCACCTAGCCACCTAGCCCTAACCACCTCCATTGCCAACCGCCTCGCCGAGCGCCACGCTGCCTCCATTGATCCTCGCTCGCTCCTCTCGGTTCCGGTGAGTTCCCCACTATCTCCTCTATCTCCCAGACTTTTCCGTTCAAAAAACTAAGCACCGTAGCCTCTTAACCAATGTCGCTGCATGAGCTCCCTTTGTCCGGCCATGGCACCACCGCCATTCACCTCGCCGCCGGCCGATCTCAACTGCCCGATCCAATCATGGCCGCCAGTGTCTAATCCGACGGCCCTAGATGAAGGATACCCCTTCGTTGGAGTTTTTGCAAAAACCACCTTACAAGTATTTGGGTCTTAACCCGTAGTCCAAAACATCTTTTTCAATTTTGTTTTCTTCTTTTGAAAGCGTATTTTGTTTCGGTTAAATCTAAAATACGTTTTCAGTTATTTACAGTTTTGCCACTAGATTTGTTTTAGCCATAAAATCTCCGTTTTAACTCCGGTTTGGTCCGTTCAGGTTGCGTTAGGTTCGTAATTAGGTAATCTACATGTTCATACTACTGTTAAGTAGGTTTTCAACTTTTAAAATTCAAGGTTAGATTTAATCTATTATTTTACTATAGTAAATCTTGTTTAATTCATAACTTCTTCGTTTTAGCTCCATTTTTTGTGATCTTCGCGTCTGTGTGTTCATAGCAAGACGTAGATTCATTTTCCAAACCTTTCATCTTGCCTTTATGCTGTTGGTGTACTATTCTAATCTATAGCTTTTGTTTGCTATGCATGATTGCTCCTGGATGCTTGTATGTTGCTGTGATTATCGAGTATAGACGGTGAGCAATTTGTGGGAGATCAAGGGTACTACTTTGACGAGCAGGATCAGCAGGAGTGCTTTGCTCAAGGCAAGTATAGCATGGGATCATCCTTGTTTCCTATTCACTTTAATACATTAAATTCATGTTGCATGTATCACCTTGATAGGGATTCCATAGAATTGAACATTTACCTTGTCACCTACAGGATATGCATTGGGTAGCTTTGCTAGTGCTCAATTAAACCATGATCTTGTAACTTGATTAATGGTATATGCAATAAACATTAAGATATGACTTTTTAGCAACTTGGAAACAGGGGGCTGGAGTATTTAGCTACTTTCTAAATGCTTCAGATTCCTCTCCCTAAGGACTTATCTGTAAGTGGTCATCCGGGACTTACAGTACTGCTGTGAGGGCTACATGGCTCTGGCTTTAGCTCAGTATAAGGACCTTTTCTAGCTTGTTAGTGGTTACCTTTGTTGGCATAAGATTGGCTTGCCGAATCGGGTATAGTGCGGCCTTTGTCCCCATGTGTATAGGCTACGTGTCAATGTGCCATCGGGAAGGGGGGCTCTACATCTGTTTGCTGAGTGAATCTAATGGCCCTAACTTGTTAGACGAACCTTTGAAAGGCTTCATAGTGACCCCAGCCTGCTCACCTAGGAAGTGTTTTGGGAGTAATTAACCCGGGCATATGGGTATCATGACTCACAGTGAAAGTGTACAACCTCTACAGAGTGTAAAACTGGTATATCAGCCGTGCTTATGGTCACGAGCGGCCTTGGAACCCTTATGGAATAGATGAACACTAAGAATTATCTGTTTATGCTATTCATTATTCATGTTTACATTGATCATGTGTTTTGCATTAGGAATTGAAACAACTTGTTGCTACTCTTAAGCTAAAATTGTGACAACTAAAAGCTGATTACTGTTAAACCTGTGCAAGCCTTTTGAGCCTCATGAACCCCATGTTACACTTGTTGAGTACGACATGTATTTACGCTTGTTTATTTTCATTATTTGGATAAAAATCCTGGATGGGTAACAGATGGCTATGGTAATGATGATTTCCCTGAGGATTACTAGACTTGTGGTCAACCAGTTGACGTCCCTGTGATATGGAGCTTCCATGAGAGATATTTTCTTATTTCCGCTACATTTATGTGAAGACTCTGTCTTATTCGTGATGCAATAAACACTTGTGATGATACTATTCATAATTTGTTGGCTTATGTGTGTGACTGATCTCTGGGCACACATAAGATTTTGCATCCCATTTTATCCTTAAAATTGGGTGTGACAACCGCACAAGCTTCTTGCGGGCTTCGACGGAGACCACCACCAAGCCGTCTAGGAGGTGGCAACCTCCAAGAGTAACAAGCACCACCAGCTTGCAAGATGACCACCTAGTGCCACTCAATGCAACCTCACGATTTAATCGCACTATAATCGCTCACTCACTCAATCGGATGAATACTATCAAGCTAGAGTGAGTTAGAGGACTCCCAAGCACCACCACATAAACCACCAAGGCTCTAGTGTGCTCCGCTCTCTGCCAAAGGCCGACCAACACTTCTATTTATAGCCCCACAGGTTAAAATAGCCGTTACCCCTTCACTGGGCGCCATAAGGGTAAAGGGTTTTTGTGGCGAAAATTTTCATCACAAAAGCTTATTTTTTCGCCACAAACCAGCCTTTGTGGTGAATTTTTAAATCGCCACTAGTTGCCACAAATACTCGCCTCATAGATACTCTAGTGATGAATTTTTGTTCCCCACAAATGACCATACTCATTAGTGACAAATTGTACTGCCACTAGTAATGGGACCATTTGTGGCTCATTCGTTGTCACAAAAACATATGCATTAGTGGCAAAAAATGATACCACTCATAATGTTTTTAGTGGTGATAATAGTTGCCACAACTATACGGAATCTATGGCAATATAACTGTCACAATTACCATTGTAAAAGTGACAAATTTTGTGGTCACTAAAGACTACATATTAGTGACAGAAGTTTTGCCATTACTTGAGTTTGTCGTGTCGATGCTTGTTCTCACTATTAAATTATAATTGTGTCTAATTGTGTACCACAATATGTATGGGAAAAAGTGGTAACTTATTAACACAAATACTTTTCATTTGTGATGCAAACTAATCCTCACATGTAAACTACGGTGACAAATCTTTGTCATAAAAAATTATCTTTTTGTGAGAACTGACAAGACAAAATGTATCAATAGTTTCATCACAAAAAAGCATAGCATTTGTAGGGAAATATTAGTCAGGACAAGTTTTGTCACAAGATAAGTTTCAATTGTGTGAAGCACATTAGATGTTGTGGTGACCAAGTTATCATTATTATCCTTGTTGTAGTGACAAAATTAGCTCAACAAATGTACACTATAGCAATATGATTATTACAAATCTGCACCAATAATATTTATTTCAATAATTCAAATTTGGCATTCAAGCATTACATAAAACTAAGAGCACTCAAACCTCAAAATAACTCTCTTGACACTATTTTAAAGTCTCACAATAATTATTCAACTAAAGTGTTTAAACTCTAAGATGTTGGAGGCTGCAAGGAACCAATGCGTGCAATTCATTCAGCCATTTGATGATCAAGTTGTTCTCTCGCTAGGTGAGCAACTTCTCCCCTCTGTGCTTGATGCAAAGAACTCAGCTCATCACGTTGGGATTGCTGCTCTTCTTGCAGTTGTGCATTTGTTTCGACCACCGTGGAAACTTGGCTTTCCAAAGCTTGTGCTCGTTGCTCAGCAGCCTCAGCACGTTGCTCAGTAGCATCTGCACGTGCTCGAGCAGCAGCTTCACGCTGTTCAGAAGCCTCAATTTGTGCCTGCAATCTGATTCTTTCCTCAACCAATCGGTTTACAGCACGAATGCCAACACCACGTGAATGGTTTGGCTTTTGACCAAGAACTAGTGCGAAGTGCTCCACTATTGGCATGGGTGCAGAAGAAATCTTTTCTTGATGTATCCCAGCAGCTTCATGTAGTTTGGTTTGCAAAGCATTAAAAACAAACTAATTAAAAACTCATATACTACACAGCAGGCAAAAGCGTTCATATAATGAATCATAGGTATGAACACAAATTAGCTATAGGATAGTGTAACATCCAAATGTTCTCAGAATTGCTACTGTTTAAAAAATCTGCAAACATGTTATCTAATAATTGAAAATTGCAGACAAATTAAATAATATATGAAATTTACAAACAGCTTAATAAAACGATATTGTTCATGATTAGAGATACTGCAAACATTTCGTAGTGCCTAGACTTTTCAACTCATTAAATGAACAATACAGAGACTACATTGCAGAGATAATAACCATGAAAGAGTCATACATAATTCTACTACCATACTTTTTCATACAAAAAACACACCACTTCCACCTAATCCTAGTTCAAAAGGTAGGATACAGATTGACAAATGTGAAACCCAAAGATGCCATCAGAAAGGGAAGTAATATGGTCATACCATTATTTCTTCACCCGTTGGAATGGACCATGTCCCATCAGCCTTTTGATATGTAGCCCTCCAAACTTGCATAGCAGTAGGCCATTCACCAGTTTCTGGGTCTCGCTGCATTGGAATAACAAAAGCATATATTCACTAATTCAGAATGATGTGTAATAGAAAAAAAATCTGCCTGGTAACTATTTGCCTCACCAGATGGTAAGCGATTTGAGCAATTGATCTAGTTCTTACTTTGGACCCCATCTCTTGCTTTCCTCTATTGATAGAGTTTTAGTTGCTCCTTTTCTGGTTTACAAATTGCATAAATGTATCATTAACAATTATGCAACACTGTAATTCAGGACATGAGTTGTATGTACCTGAAAATCATCATCCGTCCACAAATTCCTTATCAACCATTGCCAACCTTTTGGTGAGACATGTTGTGTCCTTGGCTTGTTGTTTTGGTAAGTTTGAAGTAGACGGTAACGCCGATTATTATATTGACTCTCTACTTGTCCCATGGCACAATCTTTATCTTCTTCTGAAAGCTCAGGAAACTTTTGCTGTACATCAAAGATATATTGTAATAACCAGACACTGAATGCAATGATAACCTATGCATGCCAAATTTATTCATTTCATATGAAAAGTAGGTCACCTTTAGTTTTCTCCAAACAGATGTAGTAGTACCAGGATGAAACTTATCCATGTCCCTCCACTTCTTCACTTGGAGTGGTACAGTTCTTACAAGAGCTGTTATCTCACTTTTAAATAAACTAGCATGTTCTCCACACACTTTTGCAAATTCTTTAGGGAACTTTATATCAATATGCTTTCCTTTTGCTCTTCTCTTGCGAAGTTGATTGTTAATTGTAAGTTTTCTTCCACTCTTAGCAAGGCCTAGTTAATTTAGGGAAAAGAACAAGGGTAATTAAATGTAATGTTTGTACTCTATAGTGTCAAGAATCAAATTTTAGATTAGTATAACAGGTTGTAACATGCTAAATGTAGCACTTGTTATTATGTCGTATAAAGAAATAAATGTAGATCAACATAACAGTACCTAGCTAAATCAGCGAAATAAAGAATGGTGTAAAGAAGCAGGTTTCAGATTAGCAAAACACCTTCAGTGTTGTGTGTTACAACATTTATTTGATTATTTTCATCCAGTGCCATGTCTGAATCAAATTGATCACGTTCATTGTCAGTTCGAAAGCCACGTGAATGTAACCTGGTTGTTATTTCACCTGTAGAAATCGGCATGAACACAAACCCCATGCGTTTGTTCATAGTAATTTTCGTTCACATCTATGAACAAGTAATGGTGCATTCAATTAAACAAGAAGTCAAGAACTTGCATATTCTCATGGAGATTATTAATGGAATCGCTATCAGTACTAATAAGTCGAGTTGCTGATAACTAGAAGACACATCATATGAACTTAACAAAAGATCATGTAAGTTTTCTTATGCACTAGAAGTAATATAGAAACATTATATTACAAACAAGGCTGCAGAAAATTGTAGCTTTCCTAATTTCCTTTGATGCAACATGCTACAATACATCAGAATTTTTACGCAAAGAAATATTTGGTGGTGTTGAATGTATAAAACAAACCTATACCAGAGGTCAATTGGTCCCTTGGATCTTTGGATAAAATAGAGGCAAGCTCATCAAATTCTGTATCCATTTCAGCAATTGTTCGTTGAGGCAGCTGTGGAGGCACCCGTGGAGCCATTTTCCTTGCGAAACAGCAATGGAATTGATGGAGAAACATAGCCATCAAATTAATGGATATTTTACCAAAAGAAACAATCTGACGAAAAAAAATTTGAGACATGCAAAGGATGGAAACAATCCATCAAAAAATAATTTGATAAATATAAAGTTGGACTGGGCTGGAGGCATGGGTGTCATAGGTTGGTGTCCAGTACAAATATGGTATGGATGTGATGCATATTCATAGATCAAAATCAAGATATCAGTATGGAATTGGACGTATCGCATCTTCTTGCGGTGTAGAGATGGCGAAGGCGGCGACGATGGCAGTTGTGCAAGCCGCAGTGGCGGCGGCCATGGCGGTGGCCGCCGCAGCGACAGTGGCCGTGGCCGTGGCGATGGTAGCACTGGCCGCGGGCACGACGGCCATGGTAGCGGTGGCGGCGGTGGCCACGATGAACTGGACCGGAGGCCGCAACGATGGATCAACATGGTGGTGGATTTTCCGCATTGGCATCATGGATCCGTGGGGTAGCTAGCCACTGGAGGCATCTGGGAGTGCGCCATGGCGATACATGGCCTTGGCTTTGACACATGGCATGAGTAATCATTGGTGGCTAATACTGATGATGATGGCCGGATGGAGGAAGACTTGGCAAAAAAAAAGAAATACTAGTAGTAGTATGCAGTGCACCTTTGTGGTCGCCTATTTCTCTCCGTCAGTTGGCTTTGATTGTTTGGTAGATCCGTAGATGATGGAAAGGACTCCATGTATGTATATATATATTTGATGTCCAATGCAATATGGCGGGAGTAAAAAAAAATTCACGGATTAATTGGAGGGAAAGGTGAATGGATATTTGGAGGGAACAATTTTTCACCAATTATAATTATTAAGAGGAAAAGAGTGCACTCGGTGTGAAAAAAAACAATAAACAAGGCCAATAATATTTCTACTAGAGATATTGTCGGGTTCATAAACCCGGGGTCCCTCATGGACCGGCTTCCCAACAAGGGCTCGCCCCAACAGACAATGTTGCGAATGACGCGCAACTCCTGGGCCGGCCCAAATACCTAAACGATAGTCCAGAAGGGTGATCCAATCTCCAACCGGAAGGCCTGGCCGAGGAGGAACGGCACCCGCTTCAGACTTTGGCCCGCCTCTCCGACTGGAAGGCCTCACTCAGGCGGAGCAGCGCTCGCTTCTGACTCCAGCCCACCTCCGGACGGCCTCTCCGACCGGAAGGCCTGACCAAGCACCACTTCTGACTCCAACCTGCGTCTCCGACCGGGGATGCACCGAAACCCTGCTTACAACTCTTCTCCGACTAGCGTAGTCAGAACTGACTGGGGCCAACCAACCGGGGACGCCCGCTCGGTGAGGACCAGGAAACGGACGGAGAAGATAAGGCAGGGCACTCAAGTCAACCACAATACCAAGGACTGTACCCTATACACCTGCAGGACAGTACCCTGCAACCTTCCTGGCATGTCAGAACCCAAGCAGTGTTGTGGGCGCCGATATTTTTGCTACAGTGTTGTGGGCGCCATCAACTCCTATACCAGACAAACACGGTAAGGCTCCCCCACATGCCTCTGGGCATCAACAGTATTGTGGGCGCCGGCATTTACCATACCGAGCGAACATGGTAAAACCCCCTACATGCCTCTAGGCATCAACAGTATGGCAGGCACCGACGTCTACCATACCGGAAGAAGACGACGCAACCGCCCATATGCATCTGACATTAACAGTGTTATGGGCGCCTACAATCATCTTGTACCCGATGGCGTGGGCAACAAGACTTAGCATACGTACACTCTCCCTCTCTCACTTGTAAGGTCATCCATCCCCTTCATCTATAAAAGGGGATGCGCTCTCTTCCAAAAGAGAGATCGATCAGTTCACTCACACGCTACAACAAGAACCACTAGGTTCAAACTTTGAGCACACGCTCAAACACTTAGAACATAGCGGAGCTCCCGTCACTCTCGACCCTTCAGACCAGAGTCCGACCGGACCTCTTATACCCCCATCTTTCTCCCTTCTGTTTGTAACCCCACAGCAAACTTCGAGCACCTGGGCTCAGAAATAAAGTCACCGACCGACTCAAACTAGACGTAGGGCATGTTGCCTGAACCAGTATAAACCCTGTGTCATTGAGTGCTAGGCCACCTCTGATCACAACGTACAACAAAACTACAAATATTTTCGTGTTGGTCACTTTCTGCACCGACAGATATAATGTGAAAAAAATATAAACAAGGTCCATAATATTTCTACTAGAAATTATAATTTTTAATACCAAATTTATTTTAATGTGTGTTTATTCGAAAAATATTTTTGTTATTTTTTAGATAGTGAATAAAATTCGACTTCAAATCTCTTCGAATAAGACGCATCACTTGACAATTAGTTTTCTCTAAATGGTCCTTCCATGGTATTTTCCAAAAAAATAAGGTTCTTTGAATGCCATATAACTAAATTTCAATAAATAAAAAGACATATGTGGGAGGCGAAGGACTCCCTGGACCTTGGCTACAAAAGCTGGCAAGAATGTACTAAAGGGTCTTTGAGCTCCTCATAGCGTTATAACATAGCCAAGAACCATAGCCAGTGTATCCTCGAAACCTTCGGGGAGCTAGAAATTATACATAGAGGGGGTCAGTCAAAGATATTCAATATGGGTGTGTTTGGTTAGCCAATTAAGCCTGGTTAGCTCAAGCTTGGCTTCAACAATACAAGATGAACTTGTTTGGTTGCATGACCTGGCTTAGTCAGTATAAGAAATGTTATGTTTTTGTTGGTTGCTTTATCTTGTAGCGGGAGGTGAGGCGAGCAGATAAAAGGGCTAGCTCGGGCCTGGCTTCACGAAAACGGCCGCCCACCTCGTTCCAGGCTGGCCTGACTAACAGGTGGTCAGTGGCTTCAAGAAGCCTGTCTAACGAGCCCAACAGGGCGACCAAACAGGTCAAAATTGTTAACTAGAGCTTGCATATATAGGAGTTGAGGACCAAACTAAACAAGTTGAATTGAGACTCATCTGTTTAGGTTCTTATGGTGGAACCTAGCCAGCCGTGTTAGTCACGATGTAGTTGCTCCTATTTTTCTGAATTTATTCTAGTGTGGTGATTAATTTGGACGAGTGTGCATGTATGCATGTAAGCATCTGCTACCCATGTTATTATCATGTATCTACCTTTTTATACGTAGTTTTATAAGAACAATATCATTAAACAAGTTAGGATTAAAGTATGAGTATATAACAAATAAAGTGTTAAACTAATAATTAAATATATAAAAATCATAAACAAATGATTATTTAGATCATAGATTAAATATTTATAACAAATATCAACATTCGAACCATATTAGTTTTGTTTTGGCAAACATTTTGTTTACGAATAAGTCACTCATATTTCGATGACTAATAAAGCAAATTATGGTGCTTTATTAATTATTAAATCTTTGTAAAATACAAAATCAAGTCCTTAACAAGTAACCAGGCTGCCTACCGTATTCATCGGCATTAATGTTCACCACAAAAATACAAAGAAAAAGAAAATAGAGCGAAAACCTCCTACATTTTTGGACCCAGATCAGGTAGCCCACGAATCTGAACTCAATACTCAATGGCTACCTCTTAAACCCTAAACAGCCCCCAAACTGCTATGGCCGCCGCCCGTTGATCCATTTGCTTCTTGCCACCGATCCACTGGTGCAGAGCTGAGATGCTGATGTCCAACACCTCTGCCGTCAGGTAATACTTTTGATCAAAATACAAGTTGTCCGCACTATCATTCCTGTTTCCATCTGAAGCCTCTCCCCTTTCAAGACCGTACACGTGTTTGTTCTTGAAGTAGCCAGATGTAGGACCTCTGTGTAGCTCGATTGTTCCATCCTGATTGTCATTGCCATACCCATAGCACAGCCATAGGCCTGTACCTGTTATGCATACCAAATACCGTAGCCCATTGAATATTTTTTGGGTCTTCTATTCTGCATACACAACCTATATTTATCTATCATTTTTATAAGTTCTTCAATAGCTTGACAAGCTGTAGTTTTGTAAACAATTCATTCCTCAATGACAGGATGGTTGTGGACAAAAGTTGGATGGACATATCCAATAGGAGGCTTCCCCGATACTACGAAGGAGCTAAAAAATTTATTGAGTTTGCTTTTTCTGGCTGCAGTGCAGACAAGCTCCTTCGATGTCCTTGTAGAATCTGTAAAAACAATTACTTTGCTAATTAGATATCTATAATGGAGCATCTCATGCTGAATGGAATATGGAAATAGTACAGAGTATGGGATCATCATGGAGAGAGTGTGTCAGATTCAGAAGACAGTGACGATAATATGGAAGATCATGATGACTATGGTCTGCGTGAGATTGTCAATGATTTTGGAAATGTTGTGAATGCCAACTTGGGATCATTTGATGGATCATCACATAGCTTGTAGGATGACATGACCGCATCTACAGATCCTACTGAAGAAGCTAGCAAATTTTATAGACTTCTTGAAGAGGCAGACAATGAGCTGTACCCAGAATGTAGTAGCCTTCTCTACACTATCGTTCATTGTGCAAATGATGAACATCAAGTGCCTATATGATTTGAGTGGAAATGCAATGGATGCTCTATTTACTCTGTTTTGGAAGGTACTTCCTACCAAGAATAAGGCTCCAAAGTCATTCAACGATGCTAAGAAAGTCATGTCAGATTTGGGATTGGATTACAAGCATATAGACGCATGCCCAAATGATTGCATTCTGTATAGAGGTGATTATGCTAAAGCTGAGTCATGTCCAGTGTGCAAGCTTTCTAGGTGGAGAAGTGATGACCAGAACAATGCATCCAAATCACGAAGGCGAACAGTTCGAAAGGTTGCACATAAGGTGCTGCGCTATTTCCCATTGATACCAAGATTGAAAAGGATGTATATGTGTTCCAAAACTTCAACTAATATGCGTTGGCACAAAGAGGAGCTAGTTGATGATGGATATTTGAGAC